GGAGAAAGTTCCCAGACAAAAGTTTCAGTAGACACTCAGGCCAATTGAATTTGCCATGTGCTAATATGGGCCCCATGTTCCAAGATTTTAAGAGCTTCCACTTTTGAAGAGGATCAGAATTTATTATTTTTATGTGAAAAATTCCAAATATAAAATGTTGGCAACGAATTAAATTTTCAAAAACTATCTTTAACCAGAGCATAGCAAAAGAAGTCTATAGATTTGATCCATTACATACAATTAATAATTCTACGTGATGCCCATGTCACAGAGTATATCCTTCCACTGTCTAAATCTTTCTGGTGTTTAAATAAAGTACCCTTATAAGTTAGCTACTTTGACTTTGTAGTATTACCAGGATTCTATATGGTTTCTTCTTTACATAAAAATAATATATGTATGTAAACAGCACGCAATGGCATGAATGAAAGTCACTTTGCTGCAAAAATTGAGAGAGGTAGCTGATAACTGTGCTTCCCTTGGAAGAATTCGTTGTGGTCTTCTTGGTGAACAAGACATATGAACAGAAAGTTAAAGTTCGATGTGATTGGTACAATTATAAAAATTAGAAGAAATGACTAATTGTCTGCAGACATCAGGACAAATACTGAAGAAAGATGGGTCTTAGGAATAATAGCACTTTTCTAGGAGAATAAGAGTGGGGAGGAATTTCAGGATGAGTGAACAGTGCAAGGAGAGACAGGAAGCATGGAAGAGAAATGAACAATATTCTACGTGGATGAAAGGATGACTTTTTTTTATTCTAACAAGTAAAACACAAATGGTAAGCTGAAAAACTGGAAAAGTACCCATCATACATCATGATATGGACACGCCTAAAAACTAAGAAGTAGCACATATTTGAATTTATCTTTGTTATTGTTTGGTCACTATAAGTCAAATAGCAACTCAGTGTCAGTGAGTTTGAGAGAGTATTGCTTTGAAAAAGAACAATGGTTAAAGCCTTAGGCTGCTAACCAGAAGGTATGCAGTTGGAGTCCGCTTGTTGGTCCTCAGGAGAAAGATGAGACAATCTACTTCTATAGAGATCTACAGCCTTGGAAACCCTATGGGGTAGTTCTGCTCTGTCCTATAGGGTTACCATGCATTAGAATCCACTTGGTGGCAGAGGATTTGGTTTACAGTTTTGAAAGAGAATCCCTGATGGTTCAGTGCTTAAGCACTCAATTGCTAAGTTAAGCACTTGACTGTGGTTGGAACCCCCCAGTGGCTCTGCAGAAGAAAAATATGGCAATCTGCTCCCATAAAGACTAGAGCCTTGGAAACCCTATGGAGCAATTCTACTCTATTCTATGGAGTTGCTATGCATTGGAATAGACAGCAGAACAATGAGTTAAGGTTATTTGGTTATTGTTTTGAAGTGTATGTGTGTGTGAAAGAGAGAGAGAGAGACCCAAATTATGGGTGATGAATTAAAACTGACATTTTGTTATTTACAAATAGAGGTAATACGCAGGGCTTAAGTTCACAAAGGAGCTTTGATAGTGCAGTGGTTAAGTGCTCAGCTCCTAACAAAAGGATAGTATTTGAACCTACCAGTTGCTCCATAGGGGAAAATGTGCCAGTCTATTTTCATAAAGATTATGCAAATATTTCTCTTTGAAGACTAAGGTGCACCTAATCCAAGCCATGGT